GGGGGAGGGAAGGGGGAGAGGAGGGTGAGAGAATGAGAGAGAAAGGGATAAGAAAGGTGGAGAGGAGTATAACAGATTAGTAGAAGATGGTCAATGGGGGGGGGGAGGAGAGAAAAAGGATGGTGCAAGATGAGTGAAGAGGGAGGTAGGAGAAGGGATTAGTGATAGAGTTAGAAAAAATGGTGAGATGTTGTAGGGGCGAGAGAGAGAGTGGGGTAGGAGAGTAGGTTAGTGAAACGAGGTGATACCAAACTCTCGATTGGCCAAGAGCAACAAGATCACCAAGATCCACTGGATCTTGGCCTTCACGATGCTGGCAGCCTGCTTGTGACGCACGTGCGGAGATGGAGATGGAGAGAGAGAGAGAGAGAGGAGATGGACACACACGAGAAGCAGCAGCTGAGTGAAGGTATCATCTGGCTGAATGAACAAACGAATGAAGAATGAATGAACCAACCTCCCGACCAGGGCCTAGGCCGAAGTGATGTACCGGCCTAGGTCCTGGTCCGGGAACAACCTGGTACCGGACCAGGGCCGGGCCGACGGCCTGAAACTGGTCCGGCCTCACTATCGGGCCGTAGGGGTAGCGCTACACGATCCTCAGACCTGTGAATGGATCAAGCGATACATCAAACACGCTATCCGCTGAAATAGCGGAAACCCAAAAGGAACGGCAAAGAAAACAATCATAGATGCGGAGCAAGCTTCATGCAGGAAAAGAGATGCAATGTAGACTAAGCCTTAAGCCTAATCTATGCAACAATGTCCGGTCTGAGTCGACCCAAAAAGCAGAAAAATGTCTGACCTGTGTTGGCCAAGAAAGAGAAAAATGTCTGACATGTGTCGGCCAAGAAAGAGAAAAATGTCTCATGAGCCGAAGTGGCTGAATAGAAATCAACACCAAGGCCCTAAAGGCCAAAGAATAACTAAACGAATGTCCTAAGTCGAAAAAGAAGGTGGCACAGTCTCACGTGCCCTGTACACAATGCACAATACTTGAACAAAAGAGAAGGAAACTCAGTCGCATGGCAGAGGTAGGAATGGGTGGGAAGACGGTAGGTACAACTTTCAGATAAACTCCAAAGGGGTACCCACACAACCAGGTAAGGGTCGTCAGGCTCAGAGGGAGGGTAACAGCATAACACCGGGCTCAATGGAAACCATCAAATGGGTACCGCCAGCTGAAAGGGGAAAGGCACTCCATAAGGGAGCACACATAAGTTGAGCCTGGAAGGAAAGAGGGCTATGCCGGCATAGACATGTGGCCAAAAGCCGCGAGCAAAGAAAACGTACACTCTAGAGGAGGGCGCGCAGCATACGGAAAGGAAGAAGGGCGATAGACGGACACACCCACATAGACAAGGAAAATGTGGGTCATCATGCGACTGAAGGGTAAGCTCGAGGGTGGTGGATAGGTGGGAATGATGGGAACTCTGTAGCCGAAAAGTGAAGTAGTCCAATTGATGAGTCTCCAGACTGAAGTCGAGCCGAAGTAGCCTGGATAAAGTAGGAGTACCGCAAAAACCGAGCAAAAGTCCGAAACAATGCGACAGGTACTCTGGTACTGAGGAGAAGCACTGAGGTCGAAAGTCGAATGTATAAGTCGAATGTAGAAGCCGAATGTAGAGGCCGAATGTAGAACCCAAAACCGGGAGTTGCTGCATTAGTGTCCAAGAATGGTAAAAGATAGAGAGCATATAGGGGGTATAGATCAGTCACGATAGCGAGAAGGAAGTCGATGGGTACGCTGAGGGCGAGAGGAGTCAACTGCATTAACAGGCGGAACCACATCCACGGGGGAAGGAGGACCTCAGGTGGGTACCAGCGGAGCAGGAGGACCCATCGATGGAAGAGGGGGAATGTTAGTGGTCGCTGAAGTAGATGGGTCAGTGGGAGGACGAGAAGTAGGAGGGGATGATGATGAAGGGAAAGGGTGAGCACGATCGTAAGCATGCACGGAAGTTATGGCATGGTTCAGGTGCTCGAGAGGCTCCCAAGTAGACTCCTCGCCAGGGTAACCCTTCCATCGAACGAGATACTCGAGGCGGGGAGGATCACCGTCGGTCATACGCCGGGATACGATATCAGAGATGACAAACTCCTCATGACCTTCAATGATGATGGGAGAAGGGCGAGGGTAAGGTCGACCGTGAAACTCGGGAGGAGACCGTCTGAAGGGGTGCAAAAGATACATGGAACACATCATGTAGGTTAGCGCGATACATGGAATTGGGGAGCTTCAATTTGAAGCTCACCGGATTGTCATGATTGGGTCTGGCGGGTGCAAGAATGGTGCATGGTCTGATGTATCGATGTCTGAATTTCCGAAGCGTGTCAGCTTCGGGCTGGAAGTGACGTGCATCGACAAGGACCTCGTCGCCAACTTTGAAGGGGTGGTTAATGCAAGAACGGTTGGCATGAGTGGCCATGTGAGTCTGGGAGTTAGCAATGCTCTCTCGAGCCTTGTTGAGAAGCGCATCCATCTCCTTTACCCAGTCGTCGAGCGCTGGGCATTTGGTGTCGAGATGGATCTGAGATAGATGAAGAAGATCAGATGGGACACGAGGATGGTATCCCAAGTCACAGTAGTAGGGAGACATGCCAATGGCAGGTGAAATAGCATGGTTATAAGCAATCTCTGCGTGAGCAAGGTGGAGATCCCAATCAGAGTCATTCTCAACAAACTTCTTGAGGATACTCCTAAGAGTTTTGTTGGTGACCTTGGTCTGTCCATCTGACTGGGGGTGATAGGAGGAGGAGAAGCGGAGCTCGGAGCCATAGATCTCATGAAGTCCACGCCAGAAATGAGAAGTAAAGCGGGGATCGCGATCAGAGACGATGCTAGTGGGGAGACCGTGATGAATGACAATACGGTTGAAGTATAGGGAGGCGATGTCTTTAACTGAACTAACATACCTGCAAGGGAGGAAGTGAGCATGCTTAGTCAACCGACAGACAACGACGAAGATGGCGTCGTGGCCCCGTGGGGTAGGGGGCCTCAGAGGTGCGATGAAGTCCATGGAGACATAAGTCCAACGTTGAGTAGGAATGGGTAAGGGCTGAAGAAGACCGTAGGGGGGGTGGTTCAGAATGTTGGCCTCCTGAAAGATCCTGCAGGTGCGGACGTACTCCTTAGTGAAAGGACGACAGTGCTCCCAGTAGTAATGGTGGTAGAGGCGGTCAAGTGTCTTGAAGACACCGAGATGACCGGCGGCGCGCTGGTCGTGACACTCGTCGTCGGCCCGATCGTGGAGCTAGCAAGTAGAGGGCACGCATAAGTGGGGAGTACAAGTACCTTGGCGACCAAGCCAATATAGAAGTCCAGAGGGATCAAGCTGGAAGCTAGGGACGGACTTGCCAGCCTGTAGGTCAGCGTAGATGGACTGAAACTCAGGGCACTGGGTGTATGCACGACAGTACCCATCCAGAAAGGCGGGGTGGATGGTGGGAGTTGAAATAGCAGATAGCTGACGATCCTCGCACTCAAGGTCGGGGCGGCGGGATAATGCATCTGCGACGCGATTGCTTTCGCCGGAAATCTTCTTGATGGTGAAGTCGAACTCTTAGAGGTCACGCCACCAACGAGCCTGGCGAGAAGTGCGCTTAGGCTTTGGCTGGAAGGCGGCGATGACATAGTTGTCCGTCAAAATGGTGAAAGTATGACCGTGCAAGTGATGACGCCACTTCTTAAGAACGTAAACCAGTGCAAAGACCTCAAGCTCGTCGGCAGTATAGTTACGCTCAGTGGGAAGTAGCTGTCGAGATAGATAAGCAACCGGACACTCTCCATCGTGAGACGCGACTGTACCGTCATCAGCGACGTCAGGAATATAAGGGGGTGGGCTGGATGGGTGCAAGATGAGCCGCAGTAACTGAAGGTGGAGGAGGGAAGCGAGGAATGTGAGGGAGGCGGGACTCTATGGAATCGGGAGAAGTAGAAGAGGTTGGGTAGATCTGGGAGAGAATAACTCCAATTGCGAAGTCGGACGCGTCGGTGGTGACGATGAATGGACGCGAGTAGTCGGGTAAGTGTAAGATAGGAGCTGACGTGACAAGTCGCTTGATAGAGCGGAAGGCATGCTTGTGAGCCGAGGTCCAATGAAAAGGGAGACATCCTCGGGTCTGAGGGGTAAGCTGGGAAGAATGTTGCGTGTAGTTTTTTAGAAAAGGACCATAGTAGTTGGTCAAAATAAGAAAACTACGCAGAGCAGGGAGAGATGTAGGGGTAGGCCAATCGACGATGGCCTGGATCTTCGAGTTGTCCATGTGGACGCCGTGCTCGGATACCTGATGCCCGAGGAAGTCGACTTTGGGTTGAGCAAAGCTGCATTTGGAAAGCTTCGCATATAACCCATGGTCACGTAGTCGCTGCAGGATAGTGCGAGGATGGGTCAGGTGATCCTCTAGGGTACGACTGTAGATCAGGATGTCGTCAATGCAGACTAGAATAGAGTCCTTAAGAAGGTCTTGGAACATTGTGTTCATAGCCGTCTGGAAAGTGGAGGGGGCATTATGGAGACCGAAAGGCATGACAGTAAACTTGTCGTGCCTGAAACGAGAACAAAAAGCGGTCTTGGGCTGGTTCTCCTCGGCTACGCGGATCTGGTGATATCCGCTACGAAGATCGATCTTCGTGAAGAAATGATGGCCAGCGAGGCGGTCAAACAGATCATCCGCGTTGGGCATGGGATAACTGTTTTTGACCGTGTAGTGGTTGAGACCGCGATAGTCAATACAGAGACGAAGGGTGTCATCCTTCTTGCGACCTAAGAGGACCAGGGCACTCCATGGGGAAGTACTCGGTTTAATGAAGCCCTGACCAAGCAGCTCCTCAAGTTGGCACTTGAGTTCCTGGGCTTCGGGAACCGAAAGGCGATATGGGGCGCGATTCTGAATGCGATAGTTGGGCTCGAGCTGGATGTGGTGCTCGATATCACGCATGGGAGGAATATTGTTGTAGGAGACGGATGGTGGGAAAGCATTGCGATACTCGCGAAGGAGGGCACCAACGCTAGGCGGCAAGGAAGAAGGAAGAGTGTCAAATTCCTTGGCAGCGGCGGCGTCTGAAGCAGAGGTGGAGGAAGTCTGTGTGGGGGTGGGGACTGAGGGTGTGTCCTGGTAAGGGAAGCGAGGAGGTGAGATGGGCTAGCTGGGGTAGAGGAGGGTAAGGAAGTTGAGGAATCAGGAGGGTCGGGGGGCTCAGGAGGTGGTGGATCGAGCTCAACCAAGTCAACGTCGTGATGCATAGAGTTGCAGGTGATGAGATCCATGATGTCGACAACATAAAGTTCTACATCAGACTGATGAAGGAAGTGGTGGAACTGGGTAGGTGTACAAATGGTAACATTAACAGGGGGGGAGTGTAGAGTCCGATTTGCCCAACAACGGAATACGGTATTGCTTCCCATCCTTGGCGTCGAGGACGAGATCGTTGTGGGTCCAATCGGGGCCGGCATGGGTGAACTGATGGGAGTAGGCAGTGCCGAGAACAAGATCGTATAGGGTTTCCATGACGTCGAAGGCCCACTGGTCATGGAACCGAGGGGCCTTGCGAAGGCTCTGGGGCATCCGCAAGGGGAAAGAGAATGGAAGATCAGGCACCACACAATCGACAAAGGATTTGGCCTGATTGTCGCTAAGCGTGACAATGACAGTGGAAAGGTAGGGGGGCGTGTAGAGAGATGCCTCCTTAACTATGCGAGGATGAATTAAGTCGCCAGTAGAGCCAGAGTCCCATAGTGCGCGATACACTCTAGTAGAGGTCCCGAGGTGCACCGAAATAACCGGTAAGGTGCGATCGGGATTGTGTAGGCGTTGAGACATCGCGGACAGGGTGCGCTCTTTAAGGCGGATACGTTCTTGACAGACCTTAACACACTCAAGGTCAAGGAAGGCGATGATATCCTCAACTGCAATAAGGGAAGCACTGCAGCGGGCCGTGCGAAGAGCACGCCTGGTAGGAGGACGTGGAGGAGGGGGGTCACAAGAGACGCTAGGTGAAGAAGGAGAAGGTATACCAGTGTCGGTAGTGTCAGCCAAAGATAAGGTCGGGCCAAAGTCGTCGGGAAGAGTAGCGAGCGACACAAATATAGAGTTGCGAACGGGTATGCCTGCTACCGTAGGAGCGTCTGGGGAATAAGTCATCGCGGCTACGTGGGTGTTGCGCTCGAGGCCGAGATGGGAGGAACATCCTGAGGGGGAGCCTGCTGTGCGAAGTGACTCTAGAGGGCGTTTGCGTACAGGCACATAGAAGAGGTATGGCCGGCGAGGCGGCAACGGGTGCAGATGCCTCGTATACGAAAGTCCTCACTCTCAGCGATGGTCAAGCAGCTGCGAGGGAACACAAAGTCCGCTGGGAGGGGTAGTTGAGGGACTGTAGAGTGAGTCCTGGAGGATGAGGGCTGACGACGGAGGAGGGCAGAAAGGGCCCGGACGAGGCGGTCGTCCTGGGAAGAAGCGTCGTCCTTTGGGGGGGACTGAGGGTCGGGTCCCTGGTCTGGGTCACTCACAGAACCATCTGAGGCGGTGCCATCATCAACGCCCGACGGATCACGAAGGAGGGCATGCAAGCGGCGAGAGAGGGATTGTCCAGAGCCTCTACGAGGGCCACGGCGGTATGTGGAAGGCTGTCGAGGCTGGGAGGGGCAAGGGCCTACAATAGTAGCGGAATGGGCAGCGGCGGGATGAGGCGAGGGGCCGACGAGTGGAGCATAAGTGAGATGAATGGCCCTAGCAATGTTGAAAGCCTCTGGTAAGGTGGGGATCGAATACACCATCATCTGCAACTGGAATGGCTGGGGTAGACATGCGTGGAATCGCTGGATCATGGTGTCCTCTGGTATGGCTGTGACGGGAATCTGGGCGCGTACACAGTGGAATGTCGTGATGTATGACTCTAAGGCATTGTCGCCACCAAGCCATCTGATCTCAGCCACACGGGTAATCGGGTCATGGGTTGGCGCAAGGAGAGAAAAAAACTGCTGAAGGAAGTCGTGAAACTCAGGATAAGACATGCCCTCATGTACGCTGAGCTGTGAGCGAAGGGCGAGGAAGTTGCGCCAAGTGGAGGCTGCACGACCTGTAAAGCGAGAGGACATCTCGACGGGCCACAGTTCCATGGCGACACCATGGTAGCGAAGCTGCTCCTCAGCAGTAGAGATCTATCCTTGGAGCTCGGGGGCCCTACCGTCAAACTATGGGAGGTGATCCGGTTGGAACAGTGGAACATAAATCGGGGGTCGATAATGGTTAGGGAGAGGAAGAGCGGACTATGACAGGAGGGCAGAAGAAGTAGTGGCATCAACAAAATAGAAAGAGCGGGAAGTTGGGGCAAAGGTCCCTGACACATCGTGGTGGCGGGTGGTGGGAGAGTGAAATGCATCACAGCGGCTTGTGTCTGATGTTGTCGGTAGATGAAAGGGGCAACAGGCTGTGTCGCGAGGTGGGGAGGCAGGGGTTGACCTCCGTGGAGCTGGCGGATGTGATCATGGGCCAGGGTGAGCTGGCATTGGAGCTCAACGTTTTGTGTCCTAAATGTCGGAGGGAGTGGGAGGGGGAGGCAAAGGAGCAGGGGGTGATGAGGGAGGTGTCATGGAAACTAACGTCGAGCAGGTGGCGGGACAAGATGCCATGGGTCCTGAGGAGGGAGGTGAAGGGGCGGAAACCTGGGGGGAAGAGATGGCTGCAGAGGAAGGGTGGGACTGGGGTGAGGACATGCAACCCGTGGAAGAGACAAGTGTGTAGATGACGCCAGCCGAAGAAGGAGAGGAAGCTGGCATAGATGCAGATGAGGGGGGTGGGGAGGGAGGTGCACTGGTACGGGGCTCCAGTTGTGACATGCGGGCCGACAGGGATGAAAAGTCGGTATGGAGGGCCGTGAATTTGGCCTTGAGTCTGGCCTCGAATCTGGCCTGCATGTTCTCGAGGAGAGCCAGTAGGCGATCCGATTGGGCGGTTGGACCCGAACTGGTGGCCATAGGGGTGGAAATGTGAGCCGAATCAGCCATGGTATCGCGAGCTAGTAGCGCAAGCCCTTCACTGATGGAGCGGGAGGGGCTCACCGACTCTGCACTCTGCATGGAGTCATCAGATGAAGAAGATGAAGATAATGTCGAGGGAGCACCGTGACGAGAGGGACGATCTGTGGCCGTGGTCGATGCGTCAAAGCGAGCAAGTCGATTGGCGGCACGAGCGTCTCGAGCATGATTTTGGAGTGCTCGCTGTTGGATGTCACGGGGAGCCAGGGTGACACGCAGAAGGGGGGGTTAGGGACTGTGCAAGGAAGGTGAGTAGAAATGAGGTCTAACGAACTTCCAAAATTAAATTAAGAAAATTCAAAGTCGGAGTGAGGGGGAAGGAGTGAAAATTTCCAATTCAGGCGAGGAAATGAGGGGAGATTTTCAAGGGATGGCGTGGGGTATAGACAAAAGCATGCATAAGTCAGTCACGAGGTGAAATAAAATTCCGATATTGTTTGGGCGTAAATTCGGAATTTTTAAGGAAATTGAAGCAAAATTCAACAAATTTCAAAAATATTTGTAAAAATTTTCAAAAGTTCAGGGGGATGATAGAAGAGGTAGAGATGAGTTGAGAGGAAAATTTTTGATGTAAAATGAAAAATTCCTTGACGTATTTCCGAAATTAAAAGAATTTCAAAGGGAATTTGAAATAAAAGTAGAAATCTAATTCCTAAATTAAGAATTTGCGATTGAATTTCATAAAGAATTAGTGATAGCCACGTAAAGTAGGTTGAGAGAAATTCCAGGATTATGTAGATCAAATCAACAAAACTTCTCGACTTGTTACAAGATTAAGATGAATTTCAATGAAATCAAAAGAATTTCAAAAGAATTTCAGAAAAAAAATAGAAGAATTTTGGAATTTTATGGGGGATAGAAAATAGAAGGGAATTCGACATCTGCGACGATCTGGGTCCTTGGCAGGGCTGAGGGGCCCCTGTTGCAAGAGCGCCCGCCCTAAGTGAAGGCGGGCCTAACAAATCACGAGAGGCCTTGGTTGTCAATTTCGCATTTGGGGGTCCAGGCAGTTTCGTTGCGGCAGTTGGTTGAAGGGAAACATAGGCCGAGCAGCATGGAAATTCCCAGGCCTTCCAGGCCTTTCCGAAAGCTCAAGCCCTGGGCCAGATTCGCAGCCTCATACACAGACAATTGGGAGGCCCAACCGAATGAGGCCCAGTAGCTGCATCAGAGGCGCAACATCCTGGGGCCTACCGGAAGTTCTGGGCGCAGGCCAGTCCAGTCAATCTGCCAAACGAGGCAGGCTCTTTCCATTTAGGAAAGAGCTCGCTGCCTGGCCGGGACATTCGGGCACTTGCTGGCTGGCGGCAGCGCTGCTGGAGCGATAGCTCGTGTGTTGGCTGCTATCATTGGAGCAAGAGGCTGCGCACGTGCAGTCGTGTGGTGAAGCAGGGCGCTGCTGAGGGCAGCGCCATAGCCCAGCCTCCATAGCTGGCTGTGGGCTTGGACATACAGTGAGGCGCAGGGATGGACTTCGGGTGTACAACAAAGCGAGACGTGGGAGAGAGTCAAGGGGGAGAGAGAAGGATGATGATGATGATGATGATGTGAGGGCACATACCTGGTATTGGCGATGGTTCTGCATGGGCAACATCTTCAAGTACTTGGGGTGCTGCTGGCGTCAACAGTTGCATTGTCCATTCATAGGCTAGTAGTAGATGTGTAGGGAGTAGGCTGGGCGTCGAGCGCCAGGTAGGGATATAGAGACTCGATACATATGTTGGTGGTGGCGAGAGCAAGCTCTCATTAACATTGACTTTCAATGCTACGATTCTCCAGTGGTGTTATATTGGTGCAATGCTGCTTCCTGAACACTGTGTTACGATTTGGCTTTCAATGTGATTGTGCAATCTGAATATTGTCATCTCGCTTTTGTTCATTTTCCTTGCAATTTGGTATCGGAGCTGGTTCGAACTGCGCTCATTGGTTCTTCACATTTGCTGTTCGGTGCTTCGCATGAGTTGTTGGGCAGTGATAAGGCTTGGGCGTTTAACGTAAGGCGGCCCAGGGTCGTGTGGGCGCGCCAGGAAGCTATATGGTGACATTAGGGGTGTACGCTGGATGATGAGAGCTCAATTATGTGGCATTTAAGTCGAGGTGGAACTACATTCTGCTGTGGGTTGTGCCGAGGCAAAGATCGGTCGTCATAAATGCACACCAGGTTGCCGGTGAGAAATCTGTGGTTGGGGGCAGCATTATGAGGTACGTTGCTCTCATCCTTATCTACCCTCTCCATCTCTTCTTACCGTGAGGAAGTGAGTTTTGTCTTGAGAGACCTCTCGATGTGAGGTGTTGCGAGCGCTCAATCTTGAGAGTCGACATTCTTCCTGGGCAGCAAGCTGGTGGGAGACGGGCGATGCCTCTAAAAGGCCCTGGACGAAGCACTGGGGTCACTGTCACCATGCCAACCCGATGGGACTAGTACACGCATGCTTTGCTGCAAGTCCTTGGTTCTGTTGCTGCGCAATAGAGGTCATGCAGGGCATGCCAGCCCTTTGAGCAAACACTTTCCAGACCGTCTCTAAACATTTATGGTGGGGACTCGGTGTTGATTCTAGCTGTGATCATCGTCTTGTCTACGATGTTAAATAATTCCTGAGGAGTTACGGGGGATCTCCTTAAATGCCTCCTGATCAGCCAGATCAAACTGGGTGTAAGGCTTGTTGCATGCGAGGTTAAATAATGTGCAGGGGCTGGCAGGTTCGACGTTGGCTTCGGGCATAGGGGTGGGCCGGATTGCACACCTTCAGACACGCTGCTCAACCAGATGCTCAGGGCGTCGACACAAAGCGACTACTCAAGAGGGATACAGGGTGAGGGTTGGATTCCGGTAATTGTTCGCTGTGGCACTAATTAGATAAACTGCCATCCAGCATACATCTCTGCAGGAGATGTTATTTTTATTTTTGATTACTTAGTTGTTACGGACTTGACTGACAACTAACAGACAACTGCAGATAGAGTAATCTTTGCTGCAATGCAATTTGTATTGGAGTAATCTAAAAATAGATTTAATATCTTCCGTAGGATCTGACATTGGTTGACACCTAACTACCTAACTATTTCTGTCCAGGCCGACTGAAGTTAGTTGTGTATCACAATCAGTTGTGTGTCATGCTGAGGTAGGATTTAGTGTGGATTCTAGTTTAGACCACACACACTGTAGCTCATGAGTGATGCAAGCACTAGTGAGGAGGAGTTGTTAGTGGACGACCGTAGGACTACTTGTAGAACTGCTCTCAATCGACCTTTGACTTTCCTAGAGTTAGATCCAGGAGACGAGAGGAGACTGCGGAGAGAGGCTAGAGAGAGAGCAACAACAAGGAGAGCGAGGGACGCCGCGACCAGTGCCAGGTCTAGGACTACAGCTAGTACCGGTACGACCATGGCTACTTCCTCTACCATGTCGCAGGCTTCTTCACAGGCCACTTCGTCAGGAGTTAGTCAGAGTGGTTCTCGGGTTTCCATTAGCCAGAGTGTTGGCTTGCAAGTCAGCCAGCAGACTCAACTCACGCCGGAGGATTATGAGATCCTCCAAGCAGAAGAACTTCAGGATGAGTTACAACGACAGTTGGATGAAGCAGCAAAGAGGAGAAGGAGAGTTATAATGAGGAAAGCTAGACTAGGTAGTAGATTGCAGGAGTTAGGCAAGCTAGAAGCACTACATGAGTCAACACTTGATCCTGCCATGCGAGCACTGCGTAACTCGCTCCTGTGTGTGGCGGTGACGCAAGTAGTTCAGCAGGAGGTGTTGGCTGAACTAGTGGCAAGCCAAAAACGAATTCTGGCTGCATTACAGGCTCCTTATCCATTGATGAGGCAACCTCAGTTTGCTGTAGCTCCCCCTTCGGGAGTGGGTCCATCAGTGACGCTGCCGCCGGTAGGGCCATCATTCTCACCCATGTTTGGCATGCCCCCTACGGGTGGTTACGTAGCAACTAGTGGTCCGGTTCATGGAGTCTCAGTCGTACCATCAACGACAGTGGTTACTACAGTCCCACTGTCAAGCCAGGCCCAGGTTAGTGTGCAGCAACCTGTTTCGGTGGCTATGCAGCCACTGCAGCAATCACCTGGGCCCATGCAACCCATGAAGTGGATGCCCAAGATCCCCTTGCTGAGTCCTAAGCCCTTCTCTGGCGACAAGAAGAAGGATGAGGACCTGGACACCTGGGTAAGGACTGTGCCTACCTATGTGAGGCACAAGCTTACCAGGCCAGAGCAGGAAGTCATAGTGGCTGCCTCCTTTTTAGAAGGATCAGCAGCACGCTGGTTAAATGGTCTAGTGCAGCAACAGGGCTATGGTCAGAATTTCGATGCCTGGGCCCAGTCTCAGACATTGGAACGTTTCGTACGGACTGTGTATGCTAGGTGGCACGACCCGCAAGGTGCTCAAAAGACCACCGACGCGATCAACAGTCTGATACCAAAAGTGACCGGACTGTTCGCGAAGTCACAAACGCAGTAGAAAGATTGATCGTGGTACCGGGTGTGCAGTATAACCCACAGGTACTTCTCACATATTATTTGCGATGTTTACCTACATACGTCAAGAATAAACTGGTGGATGAGGCCTATATAGACCAGCATGACTTTGCTTCTTTCAACAAGAAAGCCTTAGATATAGAGGCAAAGCTTAGGTCCGCTCATCAGGGACGAGTAGATGGTAGGATGAACAAACTTCCCCAAGACTGGAAGAAGAAGGGTCAGTTAATGTTTGTTGACCACGATGGTCAAACGACGGAGATTGGCGAGTTTCCAGACCTTGGGGAGGAGACAGAGCACGATGGGGCCAGCGAGACTTCGGATGGGGGATTCGTGGCACCTATCAAAGAAAAGGCTAGGGGGACGGGGAAGAAAAAGGTGGTATGGTCCATGGCCCAGGGCGACCAAGGAACGCCCGCCTGGGTAAAACTTGGTTTAGATTACAAGGTTTGGCATGACCAAGTTGCTAGGGGTACTTGCATGAACTGTGGCAACTATGGCCACACGTCCAGGACATGCCGAGGCAAAAAGGTCACTACGAAGGTGGCATCACCAACTGTAATAGGCTTATCTTCGAACCCTAGCAGTGCTTCTGCGAGCACTTCGCAGGGAAACACCTCGGGCCAGTAGGAGTTTGAGCCGCTCTTACTCGCGCTGAAGTGGTTACGTTGCCTTCTCCACTTCAGGCGTTGGCCAAGGCTAGTGGCCCACACATCGCCCCGCAGACACATTCAGACCCACCGACGCTTTGTTCGAGAGATGTGTCCGAGTCCCTAGAAGAGTTACAATCTGAGTGGTCAGGGAAGGACCCCAGAGATTCTTGGGCGATGATCAGTAGAGGTCCAAAGGGTGAACATTTCGTGGTAGAGGTTGATGTAGGTGGCCGCAAAGTTGGCACCTTCGTAGACATAGGCTCTACGTGGAACTTCATAAGTCGTGCTTGTGTGGATAGATTGCGCTTAGGGGGCCAAGTGCAGCGGCTTAGCAGAACTGTAGCTTCTACGCTGGCCAACAAGCACCAAATGCTGGTAAAAGACTATGTCAAGGACGTAGTCTGTACCTTGTCTTATGGAGGAGGGGAAGTGAGCCATAAAATCTCCTTCCTGGTTAGCGACGAACTGCCCTTTGACATGCTCCTAGGTATGTACTACCTCGAGGTCGCGCAACTGCAGTTTGACTGGGATAGAAAGGTGTTGATTCACAAATTGCCCCATGGTAGATCTGTTAGATTGCAAAAGTTTAAAGCTAGCAGTCTGATAGAAAACTACGGGTGCATGTGTGCATCATCCTTCTATAACTATTATAAGCAGAATCACGAGGAGGGCATGTATCTAGTCTTTGTCTCTGAAAAAGGGGAGGCCGTTAAAACACCCCCAGAGATAGACTCAGTTGTCGCACAATATTCCGACCTTTTTGAGGAGCCCACAGGCATGGTAGAAACGGAGGTTGTCCATGCAATAGAGGTTGTCCCAGGTAGTAAGGTGCCTAGAGGACGAATCTATAGGATGTCTCCTGCGGAGTTGGATGAGCTCCGCCACCAGCTCAAGGAGCTCACAGAAAAGGGATGGATTCGCCCTAGTACCTCCCTTTACGGCGCTCCAGTCTTATTCGTACCGAAGAAGGGAGGTACCCTGAGGATGTGCATTGATTATAGGGGCCTCAATGCCATCATTAAAAACGCAGAGCCCCTACCCCGCATCGACGACCTACTGGATAGAGTGTAGGGATGCCGGTACTTTACTAAGATAGATCTAAAGTTCGGATACCACCAAATTGCTATTAGACCCGAGGATCAGCACAAAACCGCATTTCAGACCAGGTACGGTCTGTACGAGTTTGTGGTGATGCCCTTCGGCCTATGGAATGCTCCTGGGACATTCGAGCACGCAATGAATAGGATCTTTCATGATTACTTAGATAAGTTTATCGTCGTGTACCACGACGATATCCTCATCTTTAGTAAGACTGTAGAGGAGCACGCTGAGCGCTTGAAATTAGTGTTAGGTCTCCTAAGAATGCACATGTACAAGGTTAACTTGGAGAAATGCGAGTTTGGTCGCACCAAGATCTTGTGCTTGGGTCGTGAAATTTCAGCAGATGGGTTGAGGCCAGACGATGCAAAGGTGGCCAACATTCGTGACTGGCCCAGACCTCAGACAGTTACTGAGGTCAGATCGTTTTGGGGGATGACGGGCTATCATCGTCCGTTTGTGAAGAACTATAGTACTATAGCTTCCCCGTTAACAGATTTAACTCGACTTGACACCCCTTGGGAATGGATAGAAGAGTGTGAGGCAGACTTCCAGAAATTGAAGTATGCTCTAACACACTATGAAGTCCTCAAGCTCCCCGATTCTGATCAGCCCTTTGTCATGACCACAGACGCCGGCCAACATGGCATAGGCGCGGTCCTTGCGCAATAGGAGGGGAAAAAGTTGAGACCTATCTAGTATATGAGTAAAAAGATGCCATCTCATAAACTAGCCAGGTCCACTTATGAGCGTGAGCGCTATGACCTGTATAGAGCGCTGGTATATTGGAGACACTATCTCCTTGGTAGATTCTTCTATATGAGATCTGACCATGAGACCTTGCGCTGGATTAAGACACAACCGCTACTCTCTGACGCACTCAAGCGATGGATTCAAGTGATAGACATGTATGACTATCAACTTGATCCAGTAAAGGGAGAGTACAATAAGGTAGCTGATGCATTGTCACGTCGGGCAGATTACCTGGGCACACTAGTAACTGAATTTGACATATCTAACGACTTAACTCGATTGTTGGTGGAAGCCTATCAGCAAGATCCAGTTATGTTTGAGATCATTCGCAGATTCCAAGCAAAGGACAAAAAGACTTTGGACGAATTTACGATGATAGACAACTTGCTGTTTCTTGAGAAGGCAGGGAATAAAAGGTTGTGTTCCTGATAGTGAGTCTTTATGTAGTTTATTTTCAGGAGAATGTCATGATGCAACTGGTCATTTTTGTTGTAGAAAGACATCAACAAACTTAGTACAAAGATTTTGGTGGCCCTCTATGATGCAAGATGCTAAGAGATACGTTGAAGCCTGCCAGGTTTGCCAAAGAGACAAACTAGGACTCAGGCTCCGCTTGAGTTGATTAAGCCCTTGCCGATTCCTGAAGGACCGGGTAAGAGTGTGTCCATGGATTTCATGGATACTCTTGTGACCAGTAGGTCTGGGAAAAGACACATCTTTGTTATAGTGGATCGTTTTTCTAAATATGCCAGACTAATCGCTATGCCAGAAAATGCTAAAACTGACTACGTCATCTTTATGGATAACTGGGTACGTGACTTCGGTTTGCCCACATCTATTGTTAGTGACAAAGATGTGAGATTCACCAGTGAGCTGTGGCAATCAGCTGCTGAAAAGATGGGTACCAAGCTCCAAATAACGTCCGGGGTTCACCTTGAGTCAAATGGCTAGGTAGAACAGATGAACCGTGTAGTACAGCACCTGCGTCAGCATTATATTAAGCCAAGTCAGGATGACTGGGACGAGAAGTTACCTCTCGTCGCCAGCCTGTATAACAATGTTGTGCACAATACTACTGGTATGACTCCCAACCAACTGCACCTTGGTTGGAAACCCAGAACTGCACTTGACTTTCTACTACCAGAAAGAGAACTCACTTCAGCACTTGGCAGCATAGAGTTTGCTATCAAATATGATCAGATGTTGCAGCAAGCCATTGAACATATCAGGAAATCTCAGGATGCAATGATCGCATATGAGAATAAGCACAGACGGCCCTCTAACTTTCAGGTAGGTGATAGAGTCTGGATTAGGTCATCTGAACTAGGTCAGGAGTTAGGCATTTCACGTAAACTAATGCCACAGTACTTTGGGCCCTGGGAGATCTTAGACATTGTAGGGGATCAACTGGATGGCCTTCATACGTGATTCGCATCCCTCCACACTTGCGCACTTACCCTGTTTTCCATGCATCCAAGCTGGCACCTTTCGCTGCCACTGATCAGTTTTCCTCAAGGAGATCAATGCTGCCCCCAACCATGGATGGCGAAGTGGATATTGACCAGATCGTGGAGCATCAAGTGATGCCAGTACCTCGACCATCAGGCAGAGGCCGCCCTCCTAAACCAAGAATGCAGTATCGTGTGAGATTTAAACATCATCTGGATCCTAAAGAAGATCGCTGCTTCACACGAGAGGAACTCATGAGAACAGCACCTCAAGTGATTGCAGGCTACGAAAGAGAACTCAAAGGGAAGATGCCTGCAAAGTGACAGACTTCTCAGAGGACTAACGAAGTAAAGGAGGAGGGAATGTGTGGATCTAGGTCCTCGGCAGGCCTGAGGGGCCCCTGTTCCAAGAGCGCCCGCCCTAAGTGAAAGCGGGTCTAACAAATCACGAGAGGCCTTGGTTGTCAATTTCACAGTCCAGGCAGTTTCGTCGCGGCAGTTGGTTGAAGGGAAACACGGCCGAGCAGCCTGGAAATTCCCAGACCTTCTAGGCCTTTCCGAAAGCTCAGGCCCTGGGCCAGATTTGCGGCCTCATACACAGACAGTCGGGAGGCCCAACTGAATGAGGCCCAGCAGCTGCATCAGAGGCACAACATCCTGGGGCCTACCGGAAGCTTCTGGGCCCAGGCCAGTCCAGCCAGGCTGCCAAACGAGGCATGCTCTTTCCATATAGGAAAGAGCTCGCTACCTGGCCGGACTATTCGGGCACTTGCTGGCTGGCGGCAGCGCTGCTGGAGCGACAACTCGCGTGCTGGCTGTTGGCATTGAAGCAAGAGTCTGCGCACATGCGGTCGTGTGGTGAAGCAGGGTGCTGCTGAGGGCAGCGCCATAGCCCAGCCTCCATAGTTGGCTGTGGGCTTGGACATACAGTGAGGCGCAGGGGTGGACTTTGGGTGTACAACAAAGGGAGACGTGGGAGAGAGTCAAGGGGGAGAGAGAAGGATGATGATGATGATGATGATGTGAGGGCACATACTTGGTATTGGCGATGGCTTTGCATGGGCGACATCTTTGAGTACTTCGGGTGCTGCTGGCGTCAACAGTTGCATTGTCCATTCATAGGCTAGTAGTAGATGTGTAGGGAGTAGGCTGGGCGTCGAGCGCCAGGTAGGGAGATAGAGTCTGGATACATATGTTGGTGGTGGCGAGAGCAAGCTCTCATTGACATTGACTTGCATTGCTACTATTCTCCAGTGGTGTTATATTGGTGCAATGCTGCTTCCTGAACATTGTGTTACGATTTGGCTTTCAATGTGATTGTGCAATCTGAATATTGTCATCTAGCTTTTGTTCATTTTCCTTGCACATCAGAACAATTGAATTTAATAAATTTCGAAATTTATTTCACAAATTTATGAAATAAAGTCAAATTTTAAACTGAATTAAGAAACGAATTTGATATAGTAAAGGATTTCACGTAACTTTTGAACAAAAACGCCGGAATTAATTCCGATCACGGCATGAGGAGAAAAAGAGATGAAGATTAATCCTATCGAATTAGAACAAAATTCCGAACGACAGAATGAACGGCATTGTCAGACAAACCCTAAAAGAGAAAATACGCATCATGCAAGTTAGGAATTTTAGATGATGCGACCGATTACATGGGATGGTAGAGGGGGGAAGAAGGAATGGTGGGGAGATAGAAGGAGAAGAAAAAAATAAGATTTTTGAGACAAATCGGTGAGAGGAAGGGAGGGAATTAGTAAAAGGGAGATAGATTGACAATACCACGTTCCTGATCGGCCGGGAGGATTCAAGGTCCTTCTGTCCAAAGGCTCAAGGACATATTGACATCTGAGACAGTCGCCCTATCCGCGCCTTGTTTCAATGACGAGTGGGACGACCCTTCATTCTAGAGACGGATGGAGGACCTTTGGTCGTAGGAGGTGTGTTGATTCAAAGGGATGAGGGAGGAAAAGAGAGGTCGATTAGGTTCGAAAGTAGAACCCTGAACTCCGCAGAACGACGGTACTCGCAATTCAAGAAGGAAGTCCTAGACATCCTGCATTGCCTTAAGACCTTTCATGCCTACCTATTCGAGAGGCGGTTCATCTTAAGGATCGATCCGACGAATGTCGCAGGGGCTCTGAAGAATTACAGATCTATAGATCCGATGGTAGGGAGATGGGTAGGATTCATCTGGCAGTTTGATTACAAGATCGAACGGATTGCTGGAGTCCGCAACAAGGCAGATGGGCTGAGTCGGGTTTGCATCACTCCCGAAGGGATGGAGGATGCAGAGYCMATAAACGCCTTCCTCGAATACGAAGGAGGAACTCTTGCGGTGGACAACGAGATGATGAGCGGAGAATGCACATCGGGAGAACTATTGATCCAGACTTTGGAGAAAGGGGCACCTGCCGTAGTAGCAGAACTTAGAGAAGGACCAGTTACCACTCGAGGACGCAGAGAAGAAAAGGACTCATGGGGAGCGATAGTAGGACCGAAAGGGGAACTAATGGCAATGGCGGTCGAAGGAGGCCGGGAAGCAATGATGAGCTTAGTGGAATCTTGGGAAAGGAAAGAGTTGCAATGGGTGGTAAATCAGATGCAGGAAGGAAAGGATGGGGGCAAGGAAGGAGAGGAGTTTTTTTATGTCCAATCCTACGAAGGGCTCTTTCGGGAGATCGGATTGTTGTTGGTAGGAAACAAACAACCTACGGAAGTCAGTATTAAGGCAAGAGAAGAAGCCGAAAGGTACGTCCTAAGGGGCGGGCATTTGTTCCGAAGGGAGGAAGGTGCTATGCCTAGAAGGGTTGTGTGCGGAAGATCTAGGCAAGTAGACGTTATCCAGGCAATGCACGACGGGTTAGCTGGAGGTCATCGGTTGTCCAAAGGAACACTTGCAAAGATAACGCCGCTCTATTATTGGCCAGGCATGGCAGGCATGGTCGCCATATACTGCCAGACTTGCCTAATTTGCCAAGAACGAAGCTCGGTACGAGTCTTCGAGCCGCTTAGACCAACGCGGGTGCTTGGGCCGGGACATCTGGTCCACCTCGACCTTTCGGTCATGCCTGTATCAACAGATGGGTACAGGTATATCCTGGATGCGCGAGATAACTTGAGTGGGTTCGTGGAGGCAGTCGCCCTCAAGGAAAAGACAGGGAGGAGTGTGGCGGACTGGATAGAAGACTTCTACTTAAGGCATCCGTTTGTCAGGAGGTTTATAGCAGACAATGGGACAAAATTTATAAACCAAGAAGTATTGGGGATGCTTAAGAGACTCTGCGTTCCGATCAAGCTCATCGAGCCGTATCACCCTGAGGCCAATGCACCTGCGGAAAGGGGGCACCGAACCTTGAAGAACACGATTGCAAAGCTCGCAGCAGACCATCTGGGGAACTGGCCTAGGTATCTTAAGCAGACTGTCTTTGCAGAGAATATGACTCCTAAAAGGACAACGGGATGTATCCCGGCAGAACTTTGGTACGGAAAAGAGATCGACTTTCCTGTGGAAGCCTTGGTACCTACCTGGAATAGATTAGATGATGATCCGCAAATGACCACTGAAGAGTTAATCAAGGCGAGATGTCAACAAATCCTTAGGAATGAGGAGGTCGTGGAAGACATCGCCAGTCGAATGCTGGATAGCAGAATGAGGGACAAAGCAAGGTGGGACCAGGTTAAGAATGTCAGAAAGGAGCCACTTCAGGTGGGGGAGATGGTATTGCTAAGGAACTCGGCACTAGAAAATACTTGGTCGGGACAGTTGGGAAGGAGGTTCAAAGGCCTCTACCGGGTCGCCAAGCGGGTGAGACTGAACACCTTCGAACTGGAAGATTTGGATGAAACTGGATTGAAAGGGCTCTTCCCGGGGCAATGACTGGTCAGGTTTCTAAGTCGGGACCCAGTAGAACAATGGCTTCAGGAGGCCGAAGATAAGGAAACAGAGGAGCCACAAGCTAAAGACTAACCACAGCCCTGCCCACATTATGGTTTGTCTCTGACCATGTTCGTGGGACTGTCATTTTTTTGGGACTGGTGCTTTGGCTTGGACTGACTGGGGTTGAAAGGTAGCATGACTTAGGGATTTGCAATATCTGGTTTGTGTGACAATGGGAAGGGATGTTTGGGGCATTGTACCATAGTTTTTTACGGGAAAAATATGGGGTCATCACAAATGACGCATTCGCATGTATAAAAAGTGCGTGATGCAAGGGATACTGGGTGCATTTTTAGGAATGTCTACCGGCCTAAAAGGGGGGGAGGCGTAAGTGTATGAGGGACATTGCGGGTGTTGTTCTGTTATACATGGCTTAGGAGTAAAACAAGAAAAGACAAAAATGAAATTCGGCAACGAGAACGAGAGCGGGGCAATCAACAGGCCTACCGGAGGGGAAGAAGTTGGACCAAGCCAAGGGAGGAGGACGACGAAGAGAAAATTGTACATTGGGCTCATGGGCGGGCCAATGGTAGGCAGGGGTGGAAGGAAATGCTTGTGTAAGAAACCCTCATCCCTCCGCAAGGGAGAAGGCATAGAAATATCATCTGACGGTGAGGGCGAAAAGAAAAAGGCAAATGTGGAAGAAAGAGGCAACACAGAAATGGGAGATAAGGCTCGGGTCTCTAACGAGGAAGGGGCCAACAGGGGCGAACCACGTGAGACTTGGCATGGGGAAAGCGAGGGGGGATAAGGTATGCACGACGAACGTGAGGAGGACGAGGAGAAAAGGGAGAGTCCGCTTGAAGGACGAAGCGGTGACGGTAGTTACGAGGGGTATGGGACGGGGACAAAGATCCCTTTTACCTACGATCCAAAGAACCTTGCTGGTGAGTATAGCCCCATACAGACTGAAGACGAGGGGGATGAGGAGGAAGATGTGCGAGAAGTCATAGAAATCAGTAGCGGGGATGAGAGGGATGAGATTTCAAGGCCTAGGCAGTCTCCGATGCACCAACTAGGCGATGGGGCTTTCAGATGGGAGGACGAGTTCGGGCCAACGCCCAGTCATTGGTTTCAACAATGGACCAATGTAATCAGGCACGAATGGATTATCAAAACTCGAAAACTTGCAAGGGCAGGGGTGGAAGCCACACCACTGGATTTTTTTAACGAGGCAGAGTTGCATAAAATTGTAAGGATGAAAAGAGAGATCGAGACGTATGGCCTGGGGGTTAGGAAGCCTGCCAAGGAACGGGGTGGACAAGGAACTGGGCAAGACGAGGTGCAAGGCAGCAATAAGAACTAGGTGTTGACCTAACATTGAAAAAAATCGCTGCTTTTTGTTTGCAGAGACATGAGAATGATGAGAACGTGTATAATATGGGCAAGCTTGCTAAGGAGGAAGTGAAAGAGGGTCAGCCAAGGCTGTGTCACGCTAAACTAGAAGATAGTTTTTTAGGCTACTTTTTGGATGAGCTACCTTGGGTACCTAAAACAAAGACATAGGATTTGGGATGAGACCAATTGGGAGAGGGTGTATTGTGAAATTTGGATGGAACAAGGATTATGCTTTTGAGAGAGGAAAACCTTGAGTACGAATTGACGAGCAAACCATGGCATTGAATGATTGGTCGAGTACAAGAGAGGTTAGGGAACCTATGGGTTAAGGGGCGTGAAGAACACTCCTTCCCTAGGAGCCTAATCCAACTGAGTCGTGAATGAGACTAAGAATAGTCGAGACCTGAGAGATCAGGAAGAGTGAAAATGGAAGGGGCGCTTTTGTCTTTTGTTATGGATGAACGGCCGGGTGGGCTAGTGCTGCTTGGGGTCGCAAGCCCCGACTCGAGTGCTTGACGCTAAGTCGGATGTACGCATTGATGGTACATTACTGTGAGAAATGAAATGGATGGTACATTACTGTGAAAAATGGAATGGATGGTACATTACTGTAAGAAATGGAATGGATGGTACATTACTGTGATAAATGGAATGGATGGTACATTATTGTGAGAAATGAAAGAAAGAGAACAACACGCAAAAGATGAGATGACCACCTTCTAACCTCTAAGACAGAAATGAGATCCGTAACCTCGAGGCCCACCCCCTCGGGCACTAACATTGAGAATGGAAAGGAATGGCCCTAACCAGGCTGTTCGACTTGAGAATGGAAAGGAATGACCCTAACCAGGCTGTTCGACTTGAGAATGGAAAGGAATGGCCCTAACCAGGCTGTTAGACTTGAGAATGGAAAGGAATGGCCCTAACCAGCCTGTTCGACTTGAGAATGAAAATGAATGGCCCTAACCAGGCTGTTCGACTTAAGAATGGAAAAGAACGACCCTAACCAAGTTGTTCGGGAATGGCCCCTGACAAGGGTCATTCCTTTTGAAATAGGCACTTGGGTCCCCTGCATATTGGATTGAGAAAGGTTGATTGAGAAAGGTTGATTGAGAATGAGCTGGAATGAGAGAGATGGAAAAGGCCGGTGGGTCGGTCATTGAAATAGCCAATGGGATGAATGAGAGAGATGGAAAAGGCCGGTGGGTCGGTCATTGAAATAGCCAATGGGATGAATGAGNTGAAATAGCCAATGGGATGAATGAGAGAGATGGAAAAGGCCGGTGGGTCGGTCATTGAAATAGCCAATGGGATGAATGAGAGAGATGAAAAAGGTTGGTGGGTTGGTCATTGAAATAGCCAAAGGATGGAGAGAGAGGTGGAAAAGGTCGGTGGGTCGGTTGTTGAAATAGCCAATGAGTTGAATGGAGGAAATGAAAAAGGCCGGTGGGTCGACCACTAAAAATTGCCAAGGGGGCGGAAGAAAAATGCGAAAGAGAAGGGCAAGATAAAGAAGGCGGAGCCTTAAAGCCGAGAAGGGCACGGACCGTTGGGACGGTCACAGAAATTGGGTGTTGAGGAATGAGAAAATTGAGGATTGAGTGGGCGGAAGGGTCAGTCTTGAAATGGTTATTGAGAGAATGGCCGCCAGACCGGCCATGAGGGTGGCCTTGTTGAAAAAGAGGCTGTCAGACCAGCCATGAAAATCAGCCTTGAAAATAGCATTGGATTGAATGATTGAGGATTGAATATTGCATTGCATAGGCAGGGGACCCTAGGCAACTTGAAATGGATTTGGAAATAGCATTGAAATGGATTTCTCTTTTTTTAGTCTTTGGCCTCAGCAGGAGGGGGATACCAGTGCTCGCACCACGACCCCAAGTCCTCTATCCCTGTAAGGGAAAAAGTCTTAGCGTGACCTATTCCTCTTGTAAGGGGATGAGGGTTAAAGGACCAAGGCACCTACCACTTGGATCGGTGCGGGACGTCCGGAACTGACCCCGACAACGAGCTCTAGTCGGGAAGTTCAAATTGCACCTCGTGTTGAACGCCTAAACGTCAAAGGGTGAGGGAACCAAATGGGCGAGAGAGCCATTATTTTTTTTCTAGTCTCTTTTGTTCTCCCCAACCACACGCCATGTCATTGAGGGGCGGCATTGCCGCTTGGAATGGACCACGATGACTCGCATTAAGTTGAGCAGCACTGTCCAGAAGGGAGGAGTTGGGCGTGGTACCGGGTGGAAGCCGCAATCACCACAGGGCGAGTGACACCGCCCCGCCGGAGCATTACAACCGCTTCGGGACTAATTGACATGTCTTCTTAACTGCACTCATGGACTAACTGAGAGCCCCAACTCTCTTGAAAGGAAGAGGCCGGATCCGAGAAAACACCACTCGGGAGGAACGATTCGCGAGGAAGCCCTTACGGCAAGACGGGGTCCTGGGAGGCTTGGACTGGACCTGCCTTCCAGATATGAGGAGGTACCTCAGTAATGACGCCCGTCTTGTAAGTAGCAAGAGGTCGGACGGAGTAAGGGGATGAGGTGAGTTATCAACAGGGGGAGGACTGATCACCCTTCCTTTTTGGGGCTGATGGGCCGGCATCCGCCTACTCGTTGGTGGGCCAAAGGTTGCGTACCTCCGAGTGAGAACTAGTCGTGCGATGGGGACATCGCATTTTGAGTGAGGGGAAGGTGTGCCATCTACCAAAGAAAAAGCGTGCAAAAGAGAAGGGTACCATGAGCGTAAGAATGAATGAGTAATTGACTTTGCGCAGGCTTGAGAAAAGGCCTGGCAAGATGTCCAGAAGAAAAGAATGAATGAGTAATTGACTTTGCGCAGGCTTGAGAAAAGGCCTGACAAGATGTCCAGAAGAAAAGAATGAATGAGTAATTAACGTTGCATAAGCTTGAGAAAAGGTCTGACAAGATGTCAAGAAGAGAAGAATGGATGAGTAATTGACTTTGCGCAGGCTTGAGAAAAGGCCTGGCAAGATGTCCAGAAGAGAAGCGAGTGAGAAATTGACGTTGCATGAGCTTGAGAAAAGGCCTGGCAAGCGACTTGTGTGATTGATTTGGCATAAGCTTGAAAATGGGCCGAGCAAGACGTCTGGAAAATAAAAGACTCGTAGGATGGACTATGTATGAATATGAGAGAAAAACTGACAGACTGGGAAACAGATGAGTATTTGGAAACAAGCTTGACAAGGTGTCTGAAAGAGAGATGCACAAGGGATGAACTGGGCAATATGCATGAAAAGGTTAAAAATAAGCAAGGAACAAAAAATGACAAAGAGTGATATCAATGCGAAATTGGCAGGACTTGAGGAAAGTCGGGCGAAAGGACCCGGGGGAGATGCATGTGGATTTGGCAAGGCCTGAGCGTCGGGGAATGGTAAAGGGAAAACATGGATTGCACGGACCGAAAAGTAG